AATACTGTTACTCATCTCTTAAGGTGATAGAGTCAGTAGGACCCGCCATGCCCTGCCACGCAGGGGGTGCCACCGCTGGCTATGACTCACCGCCTCTAGCTTCGGATCCCTGTACTTCACCTGCAGGTAGTTCTCGAACAACCCCTGAGCGACCTTCTCGTAGTCGCCGCACGCCAGCGCCACCTGCAGGGTGTTGTTGAAGCGGCCCGTCATCGTCGTGGCGACGGCGCCGAGGTCGCCTAGACTGGCGCCGTCGTCGCCGACGCCTGAAGCGGACGCGGCATCGTTCGGCACGACTATCCTCGCAAACTGCCTCCTGGCGCCAGTCAACAGAAGGTATAGTAATCACGATCGAATAAATAATAATAATAATAATTTGCCAGTTAATTTTTCGAGTACGGTGATGCGGAATGTACGGCAATACCTCGTTAATTACATCATAAACGACATTAGGGAGTCACGCGGACTCACCTGACCACCCAACAATCCTCCAAACCAATTATGAACCACTATTTATCACCGACTTTGACAGTAGTGGCTTTTATTATCCGACTTAATGTCAGAAAAGTGTGTGGAGTCTGATGACCGGCGTGATGAGAATCGGAGAGAATGGAATAGCGGAGCAGGTATGCGTAAACATTAAGAAGAATTGTGGGTTTTGTGGTAAAAGCACCAAAATTTGTGTATACTATATGAAATTAAAGGTATTAAGAAATTATCTGTTTCACATATCTGCCCCACTAGAAGAGATGAGAGGGCGGGGCACCCACCCCTCACCCATCCACCTCACGCTCACCGTTTCGGCCGCGGCATCTGGAAGACGTCCGCCCACAGCGAGAAGACGCCCTTGTGAAGGTCCTTCTGTCCGACGCTGGCGCTGTTCACGTCGGCCAGACACAGCTCCCTCTGGCGGCCGTGGATGAACTGTACAGAGACGCGAAGATGATAGTGAGAGTGATTTTGATTCCTTTTGTCCGCATCACAGTACGTCATCGCTACTATTATTACTACTGCAAATAATGTTATTAATATTAATATTATCATCATCATCATCATCATCACCATCATCATAATCATCATTATTATTGAATGTGTCTGCATACCTGTCAGGCGGGTCATATACCTGTAATTTGTCAGCATACCTGTCAGGTGGGTCATATATCTGTCAAGTACATCAGCGTACCTGTAAGGTGTTCAGGCAGCGCACCTGTAAGGTGTGTCAGCGTACATGTAAGGTGTGTCAGCGTACCTGTAAGGTGCGTCAGCGTACCTGTAAGGTGTTCAGGCAGCGTACCTGTAAGGTGTGTCAGCGTACCTGTAAGGTGTGTCAGTCAGCGTACCTGTAAGGTGTGTCAGCGTACCTGTAAGGTGCGTCAGCGTACCTGTAAGGTGCGTCAGCGTACCTGTAAGGTGTGTCAGCGTACCTGTAAGGTGTGTCAGCGTACCTGTAAGGTGTTCAGGCAGCACCTGATGTCGCTCTCTCCCTTCGTGCAGAGCGCCATCAGCGCGGTCATGTCGGTGCGCATGCGCTCGCTCCGCGCTATCTCGTGAAGACGCGCGGCGAGGCGCGGCGCCGCCGTCGCTGGGAAGTTGAGCACTAGCGCCACCTGCCGCAGCTGCCGCAGCGCCGGCACGTACCTGCGGAGAGAGGTCGGAGCCGTCATGGCGGGCGAGGTCGTCGTGGGTCGTCGCCAAGGCGACACGAGAGGTCGCCGCGATCATATATTCGTCGACATTACATTACATGACTTGAAGGTTATTACACGAGTTAAAGATGAATCACTGAATTAGACGGCGATACGTGACTTAGGGGTTAATAAATGACTTAGCAGTCATTACGTGACTTGGTGATCATTACATTAAAGCCGCACAATGCGCATCCAAACGCTAATTTCTCCAGTACTAGACTAGCAAATACTTCGTGTCATGCATAATCATACTACCTTATGACAAAATAAACTCTAGTTCCTCCCATTTCACTGCGCGTTGTCTTATAATAGTATTTGAAAATACCTCCAATGTCAAATCTCCGATGTGTTGAGCACGTTCCGTTGCTCTGCCAAGCAACTCGTACAGCGGTTGCACCCTAAGCAACATTGACGTCAACCTAACGATCGGGCTAAATTGTTTGGAAACAATTGGACGCGTTGCCGCCCAGATTGTCGTCAGATTCGCACCGCTTTCTTGTGGGTGTCTTAAGCAAACCGCAGCGAAATGGAGACACCAGAGATGACCTGGGTATACAAGATGCGCGTTGCGCAAAAGAATGCGTTGTTTCACCCGACCGCCGAAAGCGTGTATAGCCCGCACGATCCGCGCGGAACTGGCGCACGGACCGCGGGATGTAATAGCTATCGCTCCCCGCTATACTATCACGCATTCGCGCGCCGAAGAAGGCGGGCGCGCGAATGCGTATAGCGGGCACCAACATCGCGCAGTTTTCGGAGCACCGTACACGTCTCGCTACATCGGCTTTGGAGGGGTGGCCTTTCCGATTATAAGATTGACAACGCGTTTGACATCCTACGCCGTCGAATCGCACCTGCCGTAATTTCGTAGCTTATGCTGGCGTCTCCACTCTCCTTTCTCTCCTTCTTCGGCAACTCCCACGGTCTGTGCTCCTCTCTCTCTCAATCTCTCTCTCTCTCTCCTCATCTCTCTCTCTCTCTCTCTACCTCTCTCTCTCTCTCTCTCTCTCTCTCTACTCGCTCGGGGGCAAGCCGCCGCCACGGTTAATACACATACACTAAATACATTGCATCAATGCTTCCGGCAGCCTGGCACACAAGCATGCACTTGCAGCGTTTCAATAAAATGTAATGCTAAATAAAATACAAAATCATAATTACTACGAAGTCCACCGGGCGCAAAAACTCCCCGAGAGGGAGCTGAATGTTCGCGCTCCGCGTCCGTTCGTAAAAAACAAGTGCATATATATATTTGTGTTGCAGTGTCGGCGGCGTTATGTAGATAGGCTACGAGTAAAAACTGGCCACGCCACGCCAGCAGAGCCGCACGGACCTCCGTCGCCACGGGCAGCAAGCGGGTCAAGAGTTGATAAAAACGCGTCAGGCACGTACGGAGGGCCAGGCGCTTTTGAGATAGATAGCATCTAGAACGCCAGCTCCCACGTGGAGCGCCGTACACGTCTTCAGTTAAAACCTCTGTTGATAGACGTAACGCTATACTCGGGCAGAAGCGGCCTGTCATCCGCGTAGCGGCCAAGAGCCGGAGCGCGTCAGTGTCTTATTGAGCAGCATCTCTTGTAGAGCCATCTACGTCTTAGCCATGAGCGCGCCCAACCCGCAAAAAAAGTTCTTAGCCAGTTTGGGAGAGGCCATCAAGCCGTCCATCCGCGAATGTTCGGTTGGATTGCGCGCCAGATGTTCGCGGAGTGCGTTTTCAGAGCCCACTTAGTCTCAGATATCTCTCTAAGTGAGCAAAAAAGGGCCGGCGTATTCGCGTTTAGGCCGGCAAGTCGTCTAGTTATTTTGCCATAAGGTAAGTGTTATTATGCCATGACACGAAGTAATTTGCTAGTCTAGTATCTGGAGAAATTACGTTTGATGCGGCATTGTGCAGGCTTTTAAGCAGTGATTCGCCGAACGCGAGGCTCGACACTGACTTACAGGGTCGTTACATATGCAACGATCGCCGCAGCAGGATTGCCGCCATCTTTCTCTTCTTCGACGCGTCTGTTCGCTTCACGATCGCCTAAGCACACGTGATCGCCGCCTGCAAATGTAACGGAGCTAGGTAACCCAACCAACTAGGTAAGCTAGGGTAGCTAGGGTAGGGAGCTGGGGTAGGTAGTGGGTAGTAGCTAGGTAGGTAAGAGGTAGGAGGTACTAGGTAGCTAAGGTAGTACACCGGTAGGTAGGTAAGGTAGGTAGCTAGTAGTACTATGGTAGGTAAGCTAATGTAGTAGGCTAGGGTAGCGTAGTAGGTAGCTAGGGTAGGTAAGCTAGGGAGCTAGTAACGGTTAGAGAAACGGGTAAGTAACGGCCAAACCAACAAGAGGTAAACAATAACTAAGGCGTACGTACCACACGGACAGGTTCTAATTTCGCAACATAGTACACAGTAACCAACGCTTAAACAAGAGCCGCAGAGCGTCTGGCTTACACATCTGAGGTCTGTGCTAGATATATCAAACGTAAAATCTATCATGTCAGTGCGTGTACGCACATTTGTAGGGCAGATATGCAAGATCACGCAGTTGCGTACACAGCTATTGTTAGACGACGCCCACTGATCCAGATGGAGGGTAGAGGGGTGGGAGGGGCGTGGGGAGGGTGGGGAAGGGCGTGGGAGGGGCGTGGAGTAAGGGGGAAGGTCAGGAGGGTGGGGGAGGGGGCTCTAATAGCAAAAGCAGTCACTCCCTTTGTAACAGTCAACTAAGATCCATGTTTACTACGCCTCCTCTTGACGGTCGAAAACGGTTTATCCGACACTTACTGCTTCGCATGTCAGCAAAGGGACATTCAGTTGAGTCAACTTTCAATAATAGGCCATAAAATGCTAGGTCACACGCTGAACAAAAAGGTTTTTCAATCGCTTGTCAGACCAATGTTCCTCAGAAAATGTCTAAAATCTAACCCTGCTGCCATTGACCTCTTGACCTGTGACCCCAATTTCGGCACAGTGATGGGCTTTTCTACCATGATGCTATTACCACCGAACTAATCACGGCCTTTAGGCTGAGCCGTCTTATGATTTGTGCCGCAATTTCGCATTTCCTCCACTATACTTAAGTTAAGGAGTGATTGTTCCCCTTCTTTTACACTCTTGACCTTTGACCTTTTGACCCCCAGCCCTTCGAGCATCCCAACTCGTTTTGCGATCCCCGCAACGAACCGATATCGTGACCGTTACGTCGATCGCGGTTAAGATTTGTTCCGAACTGTTTGACGCACGGACGGACAGGACCGACGACGGACGACGCACGGACATCATGAGCATTCTTCACAAGCTCTGCATCTGACTATGCAATAGCTAAAAAATTGTTTGTTTCCCCTTTACCTACTCGCCTCGAGTAGGTAGGTAGATGAAAAATCTTTTTTATTTTTGTTTCGACAAGATGTGTGTATGTATATTGTATATTCTGTTTTGTGTATATGTTTTTGCGGAACAAATTTGATTTTTTTTTGGTCAAAACGATTTTGTTTTATTTAATTTTGTTTTAATCGGCCAATAAAATGTGTCGAGTAGCGGCGTTTTGGCGAGTCGGTCGGTAAAGGGGAAACAAGCAATATTTTATCTTAGGCCCAGTACAGTCAGAGGGTGGAACGCGGGTAAACCGAGAGCGGGAAACAGGGTTATTCGGGGAGGCAGCCAGTATAGCTGAAGGGGTCGTTGTCGTATATGTAGTACCCGAGGTGTCGGCGAGTATGTCGCCTACGCCTACGCCTACTCCCTAACCCTAACACTAACCATATCATATAGTTACCTCGGGTACATCAAAGAGCTAAATATAACAAGGAGAGGAAGCGGATTGGCTGTGTGCTTTTCGCCTCAAGGACATGAAGGACGCCATCTATGGACCATAATCAGCTGAAACGGCTGTGCAGACCCGAACCCAGAGACAATAGAACACTAATCTGTTCTAGGCCAAATATGACCAAATATGGCAAAGATTTTGGCCAGATATGGCGGCGCTTCCTCTCCTTGTTATATTTAGCTCCTTGGGGTACATATTATACGTCAATATATGACAACGACCCTTCGTGCGCCAGTATATCGAGCTCGCCTGGCAGTCGCCTTATATATCATTACGGTCTTCGTCACTTCGCCTCCGTGATTTCAGCAAATTTTAGAGTGCTATTTTCATGCACGCGAGTTTAAAAAGTAGCCCCCGGAAAAATACATTTTTATTTTTTCCCTGGTAGACGCGCCAACACAGACGCGGTTTACCTGTCATAAGCACGACGCGCTTCATGCGTGTTTTACTCGCTACCTAGCCTAGCAACACGTTGATCGCCGTTGATTGCAAACATGCGTCGCCATGACAACAAACACGACCCACGTTACGACGACGACGACGAGACAATCACTACTGACATATAAAACGATTCAATTTTGCGAAAAATCGAAAATCGTTCGGTGGCACGCCGGAAAACAAGATGTAATTATCTCGGCGCTCTCTCATTCGATTCTCTCCTCTCATTCAGTACTCTTCTCCCATTTGGTTCTTTTGTCTTATTTGGTGTGCAGAAAAGCACCAAATAAGAAAAATTATTCATTTTTATTTGTGTGCGCACCACATCGGGGTTTAAAGTGATTACGTCACCGTAAATAATAAAAATATAAATAATATTTCCACTTTTTCACAAAATAAGTGATTCTGTTCACTTTTTATGGTTAAATTGCTGCATTATACTTCTTATTTTACTATATTGTTCGATGTGAACATACACTCGTGACTCATACATAGCCCATAGCAAGCAATTAATGTCAGAAACACAATATCAAATCGTCCAGGTTTTATGGATTTTTAACTAGTTGAGAAACAATCTTATCAGGTAAGAATTTGAGGATACGTTTAGTCCCGTTAGTTCTTACTTTTAATGTAAAAAAATGGCAACAAAAATTTTACAAATTTTACCATAGAAAATTCGTGACGTAGTCAAACAAACAACATCAACAACGTAGTTTAACAGCATCAAGGAAAATTTTATTTCAATATTTTTTCGTCGCGACAGACAATCGCGCCTTACCTGTGGAGCGCCATCTATCTCATCGATGATGAGGCAGTTCGGTCGTGGGTCCGCCCCGAGGACGGCCTTCATCTGAGTGGCGCCCTCTATACGTGTCTTGAACACGTCCGTGCTTCTGTCGTCGCTACGGCAACGGAGGTCGGCAGTCGGTTAAACGTTACTGGTTTCGCCCAGTTTATTCTTATTACTGCGTTTAGCCGCTTGAGTTACATTGTGCCTTATTTTATTTGTTGCTTATTACTCTGCACACTATTCCATTAAGTACCTGCTTACTCGGGTAAAAATTGTTACCACGGGTTAAACGTAGTCATGTGTAGTCCTGCGTAGACAGGAGTGGTACAGCAGCGCCACCTACCTGGCATTCATCTCCACTACGTTGTAACCGGCGTGCTTGGCAATGACGTGCGCCAACGTCGTCTTCCCCAATCCCGGCGGACCGCACAGTAGCGCCACCTAGCATCCAAACAGAAAGTCAAAGTCATCATGAAATTCGTTTGCAACCAACATCCATAGTATATATATCTATATATATATATATATATATACATATATATATGTGTGTATTTATTGATTCATTCATTCATTGTTTGCTGATTGCGACGCGGGCGGCTGTGTGACCTTGTGAGTGGGTCTTCCATGAGTGTCAAGGTCGTCGCTAAGCTCCACGACGCCCGCCGGCTTGAACGGCTTCTTCTTCGCCTCCTCCTTCTTCTTCTTCTCCTCCTCCTCCTTCTTCTT